CCCCACCCCTTTTTTTCAATTCCCTTGCTGGCAGATCTGTTGGAAAAACAGCAATTTTTCTGTTTCAGTAGAAGGGGGTTTTACAGCCTAACAGGCTTGTTTTTGCTGCTGCATTGTTGGTAAAGTTCTTCCCAACTCTAGTGTTTGGAGGTGGAGGAGCGAGCCTCTTCTTCCTTCACACCTGGAGTGCTATGGTCTTGTTGATGACTCTCCGCTTCTGCCTCTCACTTACTCTCTATTGCAGAAGTTCTTTTTTTATTATTCATAGAATAATAAAATGATGGCGTTGGAGGGCCATTGAGTTCAACCCCTTGCTCAAGGCAGGAATCCCAGTCGAAGCGGATCTGACAGAAGGTGGCCCAGTTTTCTCTTGGAGCACTTGCCACCTCCCCGTGACAGAAGGTGGCCCAGTTTTCTCTTGGACGCCTCCACTGTTGGAGCGCTTGCCACCTCCCCCCCGAGGCCATGGGTTCCATTGTCATACTGCTCTAATAGTTCAGATGCTGATGGGAAAAGACGGGGAAATTCAAGACAAAGGAAGAATTAACAATATGGAACCAAGCCCCTCCCCCCCCCCGAGGCTGTCTTTTTGACAAGCTGGCACTTTCCAGATTTCCCCGCCTGCATTTCAATTGTTCTCTGGTAATTTTCGTCATCCTGAATCTTAACAGGAACTGCAAATGCCAGAAGGAAATGTAAAGGTTTCCATTTAGCCTGAGGTGGCAGGCAGACATTTTCCCCAAGACAGGTGAAGGGGACTTCACAGAACAATCATCACCTGGGGTGAGTGCGTTCCTACCTCCTCACTCCGTTGTAACTGTAAGATTAAGAGCAGATGGTTTCAAATGTAGGCTGTTTCAGTGTTTAGACATCTTCTCTGCTTCTGGGCGGTTTCTCTTAAATAGAGAAGAGGATAGAAAGCCCCCCAAAAAAACGTTTGGGTCCAGAAATGTCCAAGAACCAAGAGGGCTGAAAGAGAGAAAGAACTGGGAGAAGACAGTATCAAGGAGGTGCTAAGATGAGAGGGTGGTGGTCACAATGGTTACAGGAAGACCCTTCCAGAAACCAAGAAGTTGAGTGACTAGGAAGCCAAGAAGTCTGGGGAGGTGGAAGATCTACGTTTCACACATTGTACCTGATGACTCTTGTCTGCTGCTGTTATATGTCCTGCTCCTGCAGTTGAATTATACAGGGTGGGTTTTTTTAAAAAATGCATTTTTGCAGTTAGAGAACAGGACTCTAAAGTGAGCCAGCCACAAAGGAGGACAGAAGATTGAGTGGTAATAATTCCGGACTTGCGCGGAAGGTTGACTCAGCAGCTCAACGTCCTTAATGAAGTCTTCAGGATTGTTCAATTCTGAGAAATCCAGAATGCAGCTAAAAACACTACATGTTTAATGTAGAACTTGTTTTCAGTGTTGCAGTGCCCTGACAACTTTAATTTTTTTGTCCTCCTTCAAGAACCACAGAACTGGGTTAAGATGGCAGAGATTGCACCGTTGGAATTACAGTACTGGGTCAATTTGACATCTGCATGGCTATTTCTCCATGTTTCTCCAACCTTATTTGTCACAGGAATGGCATACGACTTTGAAGACAGACCCTTCGAATCTAAAGCAGGGCCTCTCCATCCACATTCTAGGTGGGAAGCCATAGGGTGAAGACAAGCGCCCGCCAGTCCTGCATGCATCCATCAATGCTGAATTTTGATGCGATTTCTCCTTGGCTCGCCCTGCCAAAGACAGAGGCTGAATTTAGAGACACCAGAAT